AATTCTCTCAATTGGCATTTCCCTCAATGGGGTCACAGGCCCCTTGTTACGCCCCTGCCCCTGCCCCTCCCTCTCCATTGATTCTCCTACGTCACCAAAAGATCTCGACCTCCTCATCCCACCATAGTTTCCATTCTCTCTCTCGCCCCTATACTCGCCATAACCGTTCTCATACGGCCTCGGGGGCGGAGATCTAAAGTCATCTCTTCCATCAAATCTATCATCCCCACGGGAATTTCCCCTTGCACTACCACCTTTCTTTTCAAACAACACCAATTCCAGTCGTTGATCTAAGTAAAATGCATAAGTTCGAATAAAAGCTGAGTGATCCCATGAGCTCGAATGAGCTTCATCCTTAAAGTCAGACATATTCAACAGCCTCGTACCCCTTCTAGTGGCATACAAGATCTCCTCCTGAAACACCGGGTCCCCTTCATTCAACAACCTGTGCACAAGTATGAGTGCCTTGAGCGCCACAATCCAGTCCCTCGTTTTGGCCAGACGCTTCGAAATCGCCACCACACACGCATTCACATAGCCACGAGAATACGATGTCAGGCTCAAAATCTCCCTAATATACTTCTCACTGGCCGGATCATCGTCATGGCTAGTGGCCTTTACGATCGCCACCTCAAGGTCCGGCGCCGTATTACTCGCAACCTTCGCAATTCCAATACTCGTCTGGTCCTTCACCGCCCCGATCGCCTTCCGGATCGTACTAGGCGCCATCTCGACAATCTCAACAAAACCCTCACCAAACTCCCCGCTTCCTCTCGGACTCGATCCTCACTACCCTCCCTCAGCAAACAGTCCACACAACTAAAAAATATCAAAACAGCAAAAAATTGCTTAAAACTCGCATAAATCAACCAGTGAAAGAAATCACAGCCAAAACCATCAAGAAAACCACAAAAACCATCAAGCTTACCAGCAACGGAGGCTGAATATCGTAGATCTGCAAGAAAATCCCTCAGATTGACGCGACGGCCGCCGAATTGAAGGAGGCTGTCCAAGGAAACAGCTAGAAAGGCGAGATGAAAATGCAAGGAGATGAGAGAGAAGGGAAGAAGAGAGTGAAAAAGCGACAACGCGGAAGAGGAAAGAGCTGAGAGATTCGGAGCGATGTTATCGGAGTCGGTGTTTTGCAGTGGGAAATGGGTGGATCTAGGTAGGGGTAGTAGTAGCAGAGAAATGAAACCGATCTTGACCGTTCATTTTTTCCATCACAGATCTGAAACATACACATAAATCGCTTAAAACCGCATTAATCCTTAAATACGGGACATTTTAGTTTCCGCATACACAAATTTCAAACAATTTTAAAATTAGTTATAATTTTTATTTTTCTGAAAAAACTTAAAAATCTAACTTTGAAATTTGGTGAAATAGAAAAACGAGAGACATTTTATGGAAGGTGGAGGCGGCGTGTCGGAAGAAAGGCATAATCGCGCATTCGACGTGTTCGGTTACGGCGGTAATTTTTCTTTTCTTCTTAATTCTTTACCGCCGGCCTTCGTTGGTCAACACGGTCACTCTTTTATTGGAATATCATTATTATGTTCCTTCGTAAATCCAATTTTACCGTCATTTTTTAATTCAATTGCGCAACTGTGGTAATTATTACCCCAAATATTAATTTATATTTGCAAGAATTTAAATTTTAAAATATTTTAATGATTTATAATTCCTAAACTTTCAAAATTACAAATTTAATTTTTAACCTTTCATTTTTTTTTTAAATTACAAATCTGCTATATACAAAATTAAAAGTATTAAACATAAAATTTAAACCTAATAAAAACAAAATTAAAACTTTAAGAATTTTATATAATATCAAAAATTTAGAAACTAAATAAACAAATCACAAACTTCAAACACTAAGTATATATGATAAAAAATACCGATCCATATAATTTTATGACATACCAATACATATTGCTATTTAAATTCGGACATGATTCATTAGACACCACATTAATTATCGTCATACAAATCATGATTTGTTCATATTAAGACATTAAAAAAAGTCGTATCTTATTAAGGAAACCTCACATTTCGAGATTCACATGACCTAAGTACTGACATCTAATTTTATTCATTGTGGGAAATATATTATATTGGATCTAGTTCCCAAATTTAGTACATGTCGCTATTATTTACCATATTGCTATATGGTATAAAATCCATGTGAGTTTAAATTCTATTGGTACCCTTTAGGGGACAAAAGGACAGTTTTGTTGGGAGGTACATAAAAAAGAGTATTTACAATAATTTGGAACATATTACTGGGATACACATCGTAGTATGTTATGTTTCTTATCGACTTTCTTTCCCTCTCTTTTTTGCTAGCTGGCTAGTGAAAAGCATGTCTTAATAACAACCCAAATCCACCGCTAGCAGATATTGTCTGCTTTGGGCTTTCATTCAAAGTTTTAAAACGCATCTACTACGGAGAAGTTTTTACACTTTTATAAGAAATGTTTCGTTCCCCTCTTCAACCGATGTGGGATCTCACAATCCACCCCCTTGAAGGCCTAGTGTCTTCACTGGCACACCGCACAATGACAGACTCTGATACCATTTGTAACAGCTCAAATCCACTGCTAATAAATATTGTCTTCATTGGGTTTTCCCTCAATATTTTAAAATGTATTTGGTAGGGAGAAATTTTCACTCTTATAAAGAATGTTTCGTTTTCCTCTCCAACCGATGTAAGATCTCATAGTCTCCTATAAGGTCAACCTTCAACTACGAGCTCACTAGAGAATGCTATAAGTCCTATAAAAGTTGAAGGTTTTTATCCACTATGGATTAAGAAGTTGGAAGTTGGAGTAGGTTAATTGAATTGCAAATTTAGCCCTAAATGAGGTTTGAAATTTCCTTAATGAAATAATATCCAAGACTCTTATTTGAATTTCTTTTTCCTATGTGCCAGGACGGCAACATTCATATGATGTCGGTTTTCAACACTTGGACCATTATGACACCGCTATTCCCTTGTTTTCTCCAAGCTTCTTTTCATTTATTTTTTATGATATTTTAATATTACTTTAAATTTTATGTAACTTTCAATAGATTTTTCTATACAAAAAAAAAAAAAAAAAAAAAAAAAAAAAAAGCATGTATTAAAATTTTTCAAAAAAANAAAATATATTCAATCTTTTCTAATTTAAAATTTATTATTATCACTAATAATTACCCCTTTTATCTCCCAACCCTTTGGCTTTCAAATTAGGACAAGGCTGATATTCTCAACGTTGTTGTCCCCTTAACTCTTGTCCAAGCCAACAAAAATAAGAATTAAAAATAATAATTTTAAATACCAAATCCATCAGGCAACAGATAATAAACAATTTCAATAATTTCTGGATGTAAATATTTTATTACTATGAAGCAGATGCGTACCTGTAAACCACATGCGAATTTCAGCAGTATTCCGCAGGGCTGCGAATTCCAACAATCCACAGCTAAGAAGCTCCAATAATACCCATCAATGCCTGGATCTTCAAAAAAAAAAAAAAAAAAAACTTTATGAAGCAAATAATTATGGATTAGTTGAATGATACTATACATACCCGTGTAAACTTTTTAAATTATAAATTTAATTTAAAAGCTTAAAATTATATTACACATAAAAATTAAATTTATCGCCAAGAAAACAATTGATTTCTAATTATAGGCCTAATGAAAGTTTAGAAATTGAATAGAGCTATAGCCACAACGAACCGAGTAAAAGAGTAGAGATGCAAGGCAAAGGTAGGCATCACTGAGTGTAGTAATACCCACTCACTCCTAACCAGAGGCATTCAATAGGGCACTCTGAATCACTGGTCTTGCAGCATAGTAACTCGAGTGGTTACTGATTTTGGCACTGCATCTTTTATTAAGCATTTTGATTAAACAAAAAGCAAAGCTACGATAACTTATGTTCAAAATAGACAATATCATATCATTATGGAGGTTTGTAGTTCCTAACACTCGTCTCTTGTATAATGCTATTATATTTGTTGTTGCTCACTAGAAGTTGTAGTTTCTTCTCCATATCGGCCATTTGCACATATGACGGAGGCGGGATGCTTTACGATGCTGCGAAAGGATCCTGATTAACCGTTTGAATGGTAGCCAAATCAGGAGTTTTGTTGTTGGTAGACTGCTAGCACTTCCACCACTTAATTGGGCAGTGCTGGTATGCAGTCTAACTATTCTTTGATCATACATGCCATTTAACAATAATGGATCAAATCCACCACCAAGTGCTGCTCTCTCCCACGTTAAATTGCTTGCATCTATATCAAGGCCAGTTCCCAATCCGCTTTCCCAGGTCCAGCAGCAGGCGTCTGCCCTGCCATGGGTTACTTCTGGCTGTCGATTGGAAGAAGGGAAAGCTTCCCAGGATTCATTTGTGCCATTAGCTGCTAAGCCAGCAAACAAAGCCAGTGCCAGACGACTATGACCTTGATCATCTGAACTAACAGCATCGTCTCTCAAATTGACCCAAGTCTTCTACGAATTTTTGTTGAGGTTTGGGCACAGGAGGAGGTTCAAGTATGATTTTCAGGTGGAGTGATAGAGCTTTTATTTCATTCATATCAGTCATTGGCTCTTCGGAGGTAAAGCAGGAATCAGAAACCTCTTAATTAGTTCATGATATTCCTCTTAATTTGTAAAGGCTCAATAATTCCCGACAATCTTTTTCTCGAAAAAAGTACACCATAGAGCCTCCCTTGAGACCTCCTTCTCCAGAGCTGCTATCGAATAGCCCCCTCTTAATCGAGACTCAACTCTTTCTCTAGAGCCCTTGAATAAGGGGTAGGCTCACAACTTTTTCGTTCGACACTTGAAGATATTATTGGCATGACTAAGTAAAAGACATAGTTACGATACCATAGTAAGAATCAAGAACCTCCACAATGGTACGGTATTGTTCACTTTCATAAGCAAGCTCTCATGACTTTGCTTTTGGTTTGTTTTGGTTTCCTCTAAAGACGTGATACCAATGGAGATAGTGTTCCTTAGTCATAAACTCATGATCTTCCTCTTAATTAACCAAGGGGAGTACTCCTCTCAATAATCCTCAAGAAGGTAAACGTTGCTCCTTCTCTCGATTCGTCGGTCTTTTTGCTCTGTCCCTAACAAACGTATCCAATGTCTCCAATACCTTGCAGTCAATTCCCCGAACCTCTAGATACTCAGAAGACCTTACAACACCTACATCTTTACACCAATTTATAAAACATAGAGAGCTCATCAATCTGCTTCCCTGCAATATCATACGCATCAAATGCCTTGACACAGTCCGGATGCTACATACCAAAGAACGTATCATGCAAAAGAGCCAAGACTTCACAAATATCCGAATACAACTGAAAACTCTCCTTCACTAGAGGGCACAGCGCATCAAAATCATCCTACTATTCTATGTCAAACCAGTTGGCCGGCACCAAAATCATCCTACTATTCTATGTCAAAATCTTCCTACTATTCTACAGTTCTATGTCGATACAGCTCTCTCAAACTCACTACTTCAATCACGATATAGTCCCTCCCAAGCTAAATATTCAACGAACACAGAAAAAAGAGAAAAATACAGAAAAATCATCATATATCATTGTGCTCGTTCAAATCCACGAATCATTGGCTAAAAACTAGCACTAAGCAATCACATATTAAAAAAAAACTGAGAACAGTCCATAAGGAGAAACAAAAAACACTTTTAAGTTTTCAAACTTACCTGCACGATAAGAATCCGATCGGTCGTTAACGGCCTCGAATAAGCAAAAACAATATTCTTCAATCGCTGGAGTTTAAAAGCGAGCTGAAAACAGTGGTTCAGTGAGTGAAAGATAATGAAGCGAAAAAGACGCCGGAATGGCAGCGTAGAGCCACCGTACATTCCCGACGATCTCCTCGGTTCGTAGATTTTTGGCCGTCGGTGGCCAAAAAATAGGGAGGAAAATGAGCAGAGGTAGAGGGATTTACGCGGGGAGTTGGAGAACAGGCACGAGTTTTGGACCGGTAATTACCTTTTTATCTCCCTGTAATTTACCCGGTAAATCAAATAGGTTATCGCAAACCCGCCAACATTCAAAATTCAAATAGTCACTTACCGCCGTGTAAATTCGAGCCCGTCACAGTAAATAAATTCTTAATTACCGTCTTAAATATTTACCATTTATTTTTTCCAAACCTTTTCGTTTTCTCTCTCCTCTCCCTCCTCTCACTTCTGAGTCATCACTTTTGGAAAAGAAGGCATTAAAAGAGAAGGATCCTCCACTCTTTCATGGTGGATTTTCTTTCTTCTAATTTATTTAATTTTATTAAATTAAAAGTTTAGTGTTTTAATAAAACCCATTTATTTTATTTAAAAGTTTAATACATAATCATACCAAACACTAAAAAAAATTTAGAAATTCTTACCTAAAAATATACGAACGACGAAAATCTAAGTTAAAATATATACTCTCAACTAAGAACGAGAACGAGAAATTTATGAGCCGATGCTTTCAATTAGAGTAGGGATTTATGAGACTTCCATTATCAAAAGCCATAAATAAAACAATTTCAGCTGTCCACAGTCAAAAACAAAGTTCCCACACCATTTCTGGCACAAACAGCAGAAGGAAACAAAAATTATATCATTTAGGCAAAGAAATACACTACAAATACAGGATGAACATAGTATATATATATATATATGTGTAAAAGGCATGCGTAGATATCATTGAGGAATGTAGTAATACCCGCTGCCGTTCATCGGAGGCATCCCGTACGGCATCGGAGCCATTGGTCCAGCGGCCGTGTTGTAGTAACCTGGGGGGTTACTCATTTTGTTCAAACTGCTCTGCCCCTGCATCCCATCTCTTGCGTACTGCTGCCATAACTGCTGTTCCTGCACCAGCAAATGCTGTTTCTTCTCCATCTCCACCATTTGCACGTATGAAGGTGGTGGAATGCTTAACGATGCAGCGAAAGGATCCTGATTCAAAGCCTGGACGGTTCCATCGGGAGCTGGAAGAGCCAGTACAGGAGTTTTGCTGTTTCCAGGGCCGGGCAATGCTACACTGCTAGCGCTTCCACTGCTCAGCTGTGCAGTGCTAGTGTGCTGTCTGACCATTCCTTGGTCATACATGCCATTTAGCAACAATGGGTCGAGTCCACCGCCAAGCGCTGCCTTCTGCCTCGATAAATTGCTGGCTGTCTCAACCAACGCCAATTCCCAATCGGCTTTGCCAGGTTCAGCAGCCGGGGTCTGCCAGGCAGAGGTTACTTCTGGCTGTCCATCAGAAGGGAAAGCTTCCCAGGATCCATTTGCGCCATTAGCTGCTGGGCCAGCAAACAGAGCCAGTGCTAGCTTGTTACCTTGAGCATCTGCACTAACTGCATCATCTCTAAGATTGACCAAGTCTTCCGTGACTTGTGGTTGAGGTTTAGGAGCAGGCTGGGGCTCAGGTTCGGGTGGAGGTGGAGTATAATTTTCAGGTGGAGGAAGAGCTTTTATTTCATTCATATCAGGCACTGGTTCTTCCTCTTGAGGAGCGGGCGGAGGTGGCTCCCTCTCGGGGCTCTTTGGCGCCTTCCCTCTTTCCCTCAGAAATTCCTCCAATGTCTCCAGTAACTTGCTGGTAATTCTCTGCACCTCTGGGTACTCAGAGGATCTAGCAACTCCTGTGTCTTTACACCAATTATAGAATGCAATTAGCTCATCAATCTGCTTGGCTGCACTACCATATGCATCAAATGCCTTCATACTGTCAGAATACTCCATATCAAAGAATTTGTCAAGCAAAACAGCCAAAACCTCGCAAATATCTGCATACAACTGAAAACTCTCCCTCACTAGAGGATACAAAGCATACAAAATCATCCTACTACTCTTCGCCAACCCCGTCGGTCGACACGACAAGAATCTATCCAACAATCTCTGCAAATGTCCCATCTTTCCGAAAATTCTCTCAATTGGCATTTCCCTCAATGGGGTCACAGGCCCCTTGTTACGCCCCTGCCCCTGCCCCTCCCTCTCCATTGATTCTCCTACGTCACCAAAAGATCTCGACCTCCTCATCCCACCATAGTTTCCATTCTCTCTCTCGCCCCTATACTCGCCATAACCGTTCTCATACGGCCTCGGGGGCGGAGATCTAAAGTCATCTCTTCCATCAAATCTATCATCCCCACGGGAATTTCCCCTTGCACTACCACCTTTCTTTTCAAACAACACCAATTCCAGTCGTTGATCTAAGTAAAATGCATAAGTTCGAATAAAAGCTGAGTGATCCCATGAGCTCGAATGAGCTTCATCCTTAAAGTCAGACATATTCAACAGCCTCGTACCCCTTCTAGTGGCATACAAGATCTCCTCCTGAAACACCGGGTCCCCTTCATTCAACAACCTGTGCACAAGTATGAGTGCCTTGAGCGCCACAATCCAGTCCCTCGTTTTGGCCAGACGCTTCGAAATCGCCACCACACACGCATTCACATAGCCACGAGAATACGATGTCAGGCTCAAAATCTCCCTAATATACTTCTCACTGGCCGGATCATCGTCATGGCTAGTGGCCTTCACGATCGCCACCTCAAGGTCCGGCGCCGTATTACTCGCAACCTTCGCAATTCCAATACTCGTCTGGTCCTTCACCGCCCCGATCGCCTTCCGGATCGTACTAGGCGCCATCTCGACAATCTCAACAAAACCCTCACCAAACTCCCCGCTTCCTCTCGGACTCGATCCTCACTACCCTCCCTCAGCAAACAGTCCACACAACTAAAAAATATCAAAACAGCAAAAAATTGCTTAAAACTCGCATAAATCAACCACTGAAGGAACTCACCGCTATTCCGAACGAGAAAACCACCAAAATCATCGCGCTTACCAGCACCGGAGGCTGAATATCGTGGATCTGCAACGAAATCCTTCAGATCAACGCGACGGCCGCCAAATTGACGGAGGCTTTCCAATGAAACAGCTAGAAAAGGGAGGTGAAAATGCGAGGAGATGAGAGAGAAGGGAAGAAGAGAGGGAAAAAGTGACTGCGGAGATAAAGAAAGTGAGAGATTCGGAGCGATGTTATCGGAGTCGGTGTTTTGCAGTGGGAAATGGGTGGATCTAGGTGGAAGGTAGTTGCAGATCAAAGAAACCGATCTTGGCCGTTCATTTTTTCCATCACAGATCTGAAATTAATTTAGCAATGAAAATGTTAAACTTTATTATATAATGCATTTAATTTCTGTAGCTTAAATTTTATTACCCAAAATTATTTTTCTGTTTCAAATATTTAAAAAAAAAAAACTGAAATTAATTTTAAAATTTGGTGAAATGGAAAAAGGCGAGCCATTTTATGGAAGGCGGAAGGGACGTGTCGGAAGAAAGGCATAATCGCGCATACGACGCGTACGGTTTACGGTCTTGCGGCGGTAATTTTTCATTCCTTTTTTAATTCTTTTTTTTTTACTGACTTTATTATTTTCCTCCAAATTTAACCCACTTTACCATCATTTTTAATTAAATTGGGTAACTGCGGTAATTTTAAAAATCGATATATTTGATACTTTTTATAAGTATTCATAAAATAAAAAAAGAAAAAGAAAAAAAAAAAAAAAAAAAAAAAAAAAAAAAAAAAATATATATATATATATATATATATATATATCCCAACATGGATCTATAATTTAGTTTAGAAGAATAAAAACCTAATTATTAATTTAATTTTTTAATTTAAAAAAATGCCCATTTGTATCAATATATCTATAAAATTAAATTTTTGACATCGATAACAAAATGTGGATAAGAACCACACAAGAATGTTCTTGTTTAAGTTCAAATGTTGATTGTAATAATTGATGTTTAAGGTTTGAATCGAGGTTCAAGATTCAGATTCAACACCTGTGTATCTCGACATTTCCTGCATCCCTATGACAAGGTCACATTGCTTACTCTTTACTTCTAAAAGTGAAGATTAGAAAATGCTTAAGAGGTCGATCTACTTAGAATTACTCTAAGTAATACGTTTAACTATGGAGTTCCTATTAGTCTCGATTCGTTTATGTACCCGTTTTTTATTCGGGTGTTACATTTAATACCAAATAAAGTATACCGAGCTTAAAATACCAATCCAAACAGTTTTACAGTCATACCAATACATATTGCTGGATAAATCCAGACATAAGAACACATCTATTATCATCTCAAAGATCGTTATTTGATCCTATCCTGCCATTAAAAAATTGTCATATCTTACCGACGAAAACCCCACATTTCCAGATTCACATGACCCATTAGGCACCAACATCTTTCATTAATTATTTATTGAGCAGAACAGATACATATAGATGGCATAATGTTAACCATTGAAATTGGCCAATCAAATGATAATCCTGGAGTGACATCCAAAGTCTCACCCATTTGATGAACTTTTGCAGATGGGTCTCAAAATACTATCAAACAAGCAACATAATAAACTTACAAGCAGCAATCACACAAGGATTTCTTCCATTAGTTTGATGGTTGTCTTCTTATGATCTTCATGCACTGTACTGACTCAAGAAACGTCCTGTAAAGCATTATTTCTTGTATTCATAATCTAATCATCGTTTCACAGAATCAAAGTTCCATGATATTTACTTCTAAGTTCTAATAATGCATATGGAGAGACACCGTGAAAAAGAAGAGAATTTTTGTCAAAAACATAAAATCGATTGGAGAGGAGAACGGAGCATTATCCATAAGGGTGTGAAAACCTCTCCCTAGCATATGCGTTTTAAAAACCTTGAGGGAAAACCCAAAGAAGACAACATCTATTAGCGGTGGGCTTGAGCTATGACAAATTACACAACGCGATGTGCCAGTAAGGAGGCTAAGCCCTGAAGGGGGTGGATTGGGAGATCCCATATTGGATGGAGAAGGTAACGAGTGCCAGCGAAGGCGTTAGGTCCCGAAGGGGTGGATTGTGAGATCCCATATCGATTGGGGTGGAGAACGAAGTAT